TCTGATACTTCTATGGCAATTTTCCCTTGCTATCATTAAGGAACTTGGCATATTGAATTACAATTACTTTCCCATTTGTTGCCTCCACTAGAGTGTAAGCTGAGGGCAAGGCCCACGTCTCACTTATGTTTGTGCCCTGAGTAACTAGCACAGTGACTGGAACAGGAGATGTGCTGAGAGGCCAGGCACTGTTTCCTAACAGTAAACAAGACAGGCACACTTCCTTATGGAATGACAACAAATACAAAAAAAAGAGAACTTTGATCGGGATTAGTACTACGAAGAAAATAAAGCAGGATGATGTGATCGAGGGATGCGGATGTTAGCTGGAGAAGTGCTAGGAGTCAAGCCTTTGTAAGGAGGTAATATTTGAGCTCGAATCTGGTTATGTTTATATCAGGAGTAAAGAGTCCCAAATACAGAACAGCAAGTACAAGGGCTCTGAGATATGAATCAGCTGGGTTTTTTGTTTTGTTTTGTTTTTTTTTTAAAAGGCAGCAGGTGTGGCTGGCATAGAGTCAACGAAGCGAAGAGAGGAGAAGAGGTCAAAGAAGCAGGTCAGGGCCGGAGTACGCAGGCTACACTAAGTTTGGACTCTATTCTAACAGCATAGAAAGCCACTGGAGGATTTTAAGTGTGAAGTAACAGAATCTAAATTACATTAAAAAATTTACATTGATTGTTAAGAGATAAAGAAATTGCAGGTGGTCACGAACTTCCTTCCACAGGCAGACAGGTCAAGAGATCATACAATGGGGGTGCTGGACGGCACGGTGGCAGTGAAGATGGACAGAAATAAACACAGGTGATAGATTGCAAAGACATGGCTGGCAGGATGTGCTATTGAACAGAGGAAGTAGGATGTGGGAAAGAGGAATCAAAGACGTCTTCCAGGGATTTCACTAGAGCAAATTTGCTAAAATGGGGAAAGACTAGGAAATATCTACTATTTTGGACAAGAAAGTTTCAGATGCCTGTTAGATATCCAAGTGGAAAAATAGCACACAGCAGGCACTTGCTGTATCCTTTTAAAAACTACCACTTTGAGGACGGACTTGTCTATAAATCAAACATAATACAGGATTCCAAATTTGACTAACTCTATTTGCTGATTCCAAGGTAACAGAAAAAAAAACAGACAATAATAAGTGAATAATAAGTGACTGAATGACCAGAGGTCTCAGCTCATTTGATGAAATGTCATTTTTGCTACTACTCATGCTCCTGGACCCGTATTTTTTATACAAAGGTGCTGCATTTTATGTCAGAAATTTTAGACAAATGTTGTCAACTCAGGTATTTGCTTCACTTCTCTAGGCCTTATAAACACTGGGGTGATTAGTATCAAGAGCGGTAAGCAATGACTTTCAGTAAAAGATCACAGAGATCGTGAAATGCCACATTTAAGACTACTGGAAGCCAAAGGTGCTGCTTTTGGCGACAATACATATTTTAATCCATTTCATCTTTTTTAAAATTAAAATTTATTGAAATGCGATTTTCATACAGTAGAAGTTATCCTTCTTAGTGTACAGGTCTGAGTTTTGACAAACACATACAATCAACTAACCACCATCACTACAATCAAGATATAGGACAGTTTTTCACCCCCCAAAAGCTCCTTCACGTCCTTTTGAAGTCAGTCCCTCCACCATCCCCAGATGCTGGCAACTACTGATCTGTTTTTGGTTCCATGTTCTTTTTCAAACTCAACAATAGTCTTATGAACTTACAACGTCTATTCACAAATGGCTGACAAAACCCTGTTCCTTACAAAATATGATGTGTGAAGTATCAGATCCACCTAAAAAGTATTTGATGATGTTGTCAAAGAAGAAACCATCCTTTCCAATTTACTGATAGAGATTTGACTGAGGTCTCCAGAACAGAGTTTATAAATTTTTCTCTAAGATGAGCTTTTCATTTAATAGTTGGCTTGAATGAAACAAGCATGAATTTTAATATACACTCAACAAACGGACTCGTACACTTTTTCCTTAAAATGACCTAAGGTTTTGGATTACTATTCTCATCCAAAAAGTCAGTTAAGACACGAAACAGTCCATATCCTCACAATGGTTTTATCTATACATATTTCTGTAACAGGAAACTGGTAAATATAAACTTCTTATTATTTTCCAAGTCAATCTCATTTGTAGAATTCTGTAATTATACTTCCTATAACAGTATTATTCCCCCTATTTTTACTATCCATGTTGTTTTAAAAATATTGTGACATATACACATGACATTTAATTTTGAAATATATGCTATTATCACTCAATTACATCAGTGTTAAATCTGCTATGAAAGCAGGTACTTGCGTTGTTGGCATTTATTTTCATTTTATACTACTATTTAGGGGGAGTGATAGTTCATGTAATTTATTTTAAAACATAATGTACCAACTGATTCTTAATTGGAATGAATGAATACAGCATCCACGGGGTGAGCCAGAAATGGTGGCATACAGTTCAGTGGTTAACGCCTTGGGCTTTGCAATCAGTAAGGCCTGGCTTCTAGTCCTAGCTCTGTTATTTTTTGGTTGTGTGAACTCTGAGCAAGTAACCACCTGCCTCAGCGCCTCAGTTTCCTCATTCACTAAATGGGAACAATAGCAGTACCTACCTCAGGTGGCAGGGATGTGAGCACTCAGCACCACATCTGGCACATGTGTGTGCTCAATAAATAGTACCTATTATATACTAGATGGGGTTTTCATTTGAAAAACATTAGAATGTTCCATTCTTCAGCACTCATTCTGGAACAATAAAGAAAGTACCTGTGTTTATATTTTATAGTGGCACAGTGAGGGACAGAGACAGCTGAGTGGTGCAGGTGACACAGGTGTGCGCCCACTTTATAGCAGAGCAGAAAGACACAGACACCTCGCTGTTAAGATAACTCTACTGATTTAAGGTAGGATGCTGCCATCCCTTTCAAGAGTGGGTTTTTCTTTCACTTTTTTTTTTTTTTAAAACAAGTAAAGAAGAAATAGAGCTTTGTGATAGAAGTCATAAGAAATCCAAGGATGACCACAGGAGAGATCTACATGTTGGAGTAAAAAAGGCCTCTTAACAATTACCTTTTCTCTGTAAAGCAAAGGGGATTTCATTAAGTGCAAATTAATTTTGAAACAGTTTTTTTTTTAACTTACTCAGTTCAAAATTTCACACCTCCTGCCCCTTTCACTCTTATTCCTTTAGAAACATAATAGTTTTTTTTTCTTCCACTTTTTACGAGCAAATTTATAGCACTCACAAAATTTTAGACTAAGGAAACTGAGAGGATATCTAGTACAATCCTTTCGTTTTAAGGTAAAGAATAAGGCCCAGAAGGGAACTGGAGAAAATGATATAAAAGCCAAAGTGGGTCTGGGACCAAGTGTCCTAATAATGTCCCACCAGTTACTCTTTCCGCTACAAGGGTATCAAATACTTCGCCTAGGTAGCCAGCGGAGCTCCTCTGTCCCATGGCAGACATCATCCACCAGTCACTACTTCCTTCTGAGTCTTAACCCTTTAGAGTCCTAAACCACACTCCCGCTAGCTGTTGCCAGTAATGGTGGCCATGCCTCTAGTGATGTAGTAAATACAAATCCAAATTTCCTGCTGAAAATGTCAAGACATTTTTCCTGATTTCTGTTCTGTCTTTTGAATTTTAGAAATAAATAAAATTTTCTGGGCAATAATGATCTTTTAGGGAAATATCTAAATTCTACATACTAAAAATGTGGTGAGAGATTATGAAATAAATTCACTTTGTCAAATTTTTAAAGATAAATATAAGCAAAATTAATCTACAGTGACAGAAATCAGAAAGTGGCTGCTCAGGGCCAGAAGTTGAGTGAGAAGCAGCAGAAGAAAACTTTCTGGAGTGACAGAGCTGTTGTGTATCTTGATAGGGATACGGTCAAACTATACACTTAAGATCTGCTCATCTCTTGGGGCACCTGGCTGGCTCAGGTGGGAAAGCATGTGACTCTTGATCTCAGGGCCATGGGTTCCAGCCCCACGCTGGGTATATAGATTACTTAAATAAAATTTAGGAAAAAAAGAGCTGCGTATCTCACTGTTTGTAAATTAAATCATTTAAAAACAATCTAACCTACTCACGCAGTATCATTCGAATACTACATTCAGTTAAATTCTCATCCAAAGAAGAGACTTGAACTGTAAATCCAGCTTATGAAGGGCAATGCCCAAACTCATAGAGATCTTTCAAAATCAAGCTAAATACACTTCTGTTCAGCTACTTATGAGAACATCCACTGTGCCAGAACTCGTGTATGTGCAGAACAAATAAAGAGTTTCCTTCTAGGCTATGCAAATTAATGGATACTGCCTTAAAATAGGAATGAAAGTAGTATTTAAGAACTGTGTACACTACCATGATAACATATCTATTGCCCTCCATTGTCTACTAAATTGCACTTGGAATTTAATAACAGAACTTCATCCTAAAGACCACAGAAAATGTAGATAAGGAAAGTAAGGTTGAATACAGTACAGTCATTAAGTTTTTATATTTCTATTTCCTGTATTATTTTCCTATAAAAATTTGGGTGTGTAAAACATTCATCCCACTACATACCATATCTGGTAAGAGAGTCTTGACAGAAACAAAAAGTACTGAAAAGGAGTAAGCAATTGGCTCTCTTCTAGCTGATAAGCACATGATGTTGGCTCAGGAACCACAGGTGAATGGGATGACAAATTGGTTAAAGATACTGTTATGTTGGGGCTTACCACAAAGAGAAGGGGCAGAAGAGGGCAAATTTAGAGTTCAAGTTACAGGTAGAAAGAGAAGACAAATATTTCACCTCTTTCAGCAAAGTGCATTGTGTGATAAATTTTAGCATACGTTAGTAAAAGGTCTAGTCTGAAATCTGGCACACTGAGAAATTGTAGCTGGTGAAGAAAACACTATGGTCTATTACTAATAAAGGATCTACGTACGGGAGTGTGACTTGCCCTCCCCTTAGTGATGGTTATACGTACCAAATCTGGCTTCACTTTGTGAGTCAGGGGAAAGGACAGCCACATGGAGTACAGGGTGGTGAGCACCGTGGAGAGCCAGGACTGCTGAACCTCCCGGCTTCTGGGAATGCGGTGAATGTAGTATTCGGAAAGCTAGAAGGAAATAGTAAAAATCCAAATCAACTGGGCCACTGATACCCAAGGTAAACACAGTTAACAGTTACCACTGTTGAAGTTTGGGGAAGTAACCAAACATAGTAATATTTCTGTAGCAAAACATGAACATTCACATTAAATAGAATAAATAAAGACTATAAGAGACTCAGGCCAATTCAAATTCAGGTTTTGCTGTCGAACTTGTCACAAACTTTGAACTCCTACCCCCAGCTTTCAGAACTTTTTGGAAATTCTGCTAAAGGACTATGGAACCTGTACTGCAAAGTACATGTGAATCCAATACGATGTCACTGTTGTTATTAGGGTAAAAATAACCCAGCTACATCTTATTATAGAAGTTTTTTGGATGTTACTTCCCAATTTTGAGGACTGATCTTAGTATCTATAAAATTTTCTTCAAAAAAGCATGAGTGTTTATCACGTCCCTTGAATCTCTTTAACCTGTTAGCATATAACTTTGTAAAGAAGCAATGCACCATATTTCTGGATATTTTTAGTGTCCTGAGGAGGTGGAAGGGCAATCAGTTCAACTCTAACTCTAGAAGCCCAGCTCCTCAGATTCCATCTTTGCTCCAGAGGGGCAAACACACAGGCCTGGTAGGGGTTTTGCAAGGGTGTCTGGGCCTGAGGACAGCAGTCTCAGACCTGGACACAGAACCGTCTACATCTCATCTCAGGTAGCAGCTTAACAAAAGAGGTTTAGGAAGTCTCTGTCCATTATCAGAAGAGGAACAAAAACTAGTGGAGGGGTGTTCCGGGGTGGAGCCTGAGGGATCACTAAGATGGAAACTAGAAAAATAGGCCCGAGTGTGAAAAATAAGGTAAGTGACCAAAGAGTGATGACCCCTATTATGACTTCTGGATGCACATGTCCAGAGCCCGACCTCAGCCTCCTGGTCAGATGCTAGCAGTGGGCAGTCTCGGTTCACCTGTGCTGGAACTAACTGGGACAAGGACCGCGTATCTATGGTGAAATCACCCAGTTTGCAGAGGACAGCCCCAGTCTATACCTGTAGGCCCAGCATAATTATTAACAGTGCCCCTAGTGCCCCTTCTGTTCTCAGAAGTGTCCCAGTGGAATGATAAACTATACAGTAACCCACAGGGCAGGACAATGAGTAGGTTCTTCCAAGTCACAGGGAAGGCAATTTATTCAGAAGAGCCCAGGGCAACGTGATGGGAGAATCCGCATCACCATCAAGGATGAGACTATAAGTGGTAGCTGGGAAGAAAGCCAAGCTGAAATTTCTACCAGTGACATAAATGGGAAAACAGTCAGATGATGACGAGCTTGGGAAAGGGCAGTGGTGAGGAACTAGGCAAGGGATCAGAACCATGAACCCAACCGGCAGGGGACAGGAGTACGGTGTAGCTGTCCAGCCTATAGCTCTATACTGGAGAGGCCCTCCATCTCCAAATTCCATACAAATCCTCCCTATGTTATTACTATTTTTTAAAAGATTTTATTCATTTATTTGAGAGAGAGAGAGAGATCATAAATAGGCAGAGAGGCAGGCAGAGAGAGGGGGGGAAGCACACTCCCTGCTAAGCAGAGAGCCTGACATGGGGCTTGATCTCAGGATCCTGAGATCATGATCTGAGCTGACGGCAGAGGCTTAACCCTCAGCTACCCAGGTGCCCCGATCTCAGTGCTTATTAAGAGTACCTGATTTAAGCTGATGCTCAATCAATGTTTATTGAATGAGTGATTCAATATATTGTTTATTGCACGTTAATATAAATTAACCCAATCTTTTTTAAAAAAGATTTATTTATTTGAGAGAGAGAGCACAAGAGGTGTGATGGTCAGAGGGAGAGGCAGACTCCCCGCCAAGCAGGGAGCCCGATGCAGGACTTGATCCCGGAAGTCCAGGTTCATGACCTGAGCCAAAGGCAGACACTTAACGACTGAGCCACCTACGCACCCAATCCAATCTTTTTGTTAACTATCTGAGATGTATTTAGGTGGAGAATATAAAAGGATACAAAGAAGATGAATTTCAGACTGTACATTTAGGGCCTTATTTGTAGAGGCGACTCAATAAATGGGTTGAACTGAACAGAATTCCTGGGATTAGAGAGAAAAAACCTAAGCAAAGCAGGGGATTGGGAGCTTATAAATAGCTGGAGCCAGGAGGAACCAAGTTCTAAGGGCCTGGAGAAACAGGACCAATGCCCCATCCCCCGATCCCAACAATATGTCCTAGGTAGATAGCCTAGACTTCTTTCTGTGAACTGACCATTTACAAGGGCCTCAAGAAATTTCTCAGTCCTCTAAGTCTTCTTCCCAGAAAACAGATCTATGAGAGGAGTGTCCCTGAGGCTTTGAGTTCTGAGCATAAAAGTGAAGGGAGCCTGCTAGGTGAGAGCAAGTGGAGCATCCCATTCTGCATCCAGAACTGCTTGGAAAATCTCTGTGCCCACAGTTTCTGTTTAGACTTGTTAGGCAGGCATGTAGTTAAGTGAATGGGAATCTGGGGCCATCTTGATAAGAACAGGGCTCTCAGGTTAGCTATGCTTGATACACAGAAACTGGTGCTGGGGTATGTGATGTCCTGCATTGTCTAAAGAAAATACTGAAGGCTAGGTCATGGTGAAATCTTGAGAGTTTTAAAAATTACTTTATATATTAAATAAACAAACACATAAAGAAGTCAACAAGGAAAAACTATCAATAGGCAGCTTGTATTTCGGTTTTAACAAAAGTTCCTCTGAAGACAAAAGAATGGGACAGAGTTTCAGGAAGCTAAAATTTAGGCCTGGCTATGACCTTTGGCCAGACATTCCTAGGGGTTGCGGCATCTGAGAAATCCAAATGAAGGCATCTTCATAGACATATTATTTTTGCTAGCTTATACTTTTGCCTTGAGGGAAATGTCCCTGACCCTCTTACATGTCCTACTAATGGGATGCAGGAGATAAAGGAAGCTTCAGCCATCACTTTCCCACCCCAAGACCCAATATTTTGTTCAGGAGTGACATACAACCCAAGCAGGGTCAGTCTTTCCTGGATTCTAGACCCAGGAAAAGCTATTTCTTTGAAAGACACTTTGGGCTGTTAAACTTGTTCTGAATCCATTCCACTGGAGCCAAGAAATGGATACTTGTCTTAGTGTTCCTCTATTCACCAAGCTTTTCTGTAACAATGCAAAAGTGAACTACCATTTTTGATACCAAAACATGGTATTCTGCATTCCTAAACCAGAAATCAACAAATGAACAGTAGAATCTATCATAAATAGAGTTCTGGCTTATATATGAAGATCGTGAAATCTATGTTGGTCTTGGCAGGGATGGAGGGTGGGGGGACCTGCTCCTGTGTGTCCTTCTTTCAAAACCTCTACACACATTCCTCATCTATCTACTTACTCCTTACATCCCTGCTACTCCTGGTCCAATGATTGCTATCTCTCATGATAACTACAATAGCCTCCTAATTAATCTCTGCTTCACCTCTGGATCCCCTATGCTTTATTCTCTACAGAACTGCCAGAAATTATAATGTAGAGCAGACTTTCCCTTTCATTCTCTTGCTTAAAACTCCCTAAATGCTTGTGATAAAATCCAAATTTTTAATCATTCCTTGTTCACCCACCCGTCATACCAGCCTTCTTTCTGCTGTGTGAATGCATCAAGCTCACTCCTTCCTGTGGGTCTTTTCGGCTCATTCTGAGTGGTCTGCTGTGCTCCCCAGATTGGCTCAACTCAGGTCTTGCTGGAACATTACCTCCTCAGAGAGGAGACAGGCTCCCCACTGGCCCCTCCTCCAATACGCAGTCACCCTCTGCCACACTGTCTTATTTTACCATCTTCACAGCAATTACTCATACTCCCAATTAACTTGTTCATTTGTGTGTTCGACTGTTGTCTGCCTCTCTGTTCAGAAACAAGCTCCATGAGAGAAAGGATTTCATCTTGTTCACGGCTGAAATCCCAGTGTGCACAACAGTGTTTCACACAACACAGGTGCTTAATCAGTACTTGCTGAACAGATCAATGACTGTCACTGTAATTTCTAGACGTTCAGACTGTGGTCTGTGCTGGAGAAGATGCTGAGTCTTTACCTCAGTACATCTCAGGACTTCAAGAGACCAACTAATCCAACCTCCCCACTTCACAGATGAGAAATCTGAATTTCCCCGATGTGACAGAGCCAGCGAGTGGTAGAACAGGTCTTTCATGTGTCCTGAGACGCGTTGCTGACTCACCCTCCTAAAGGCCCTTCTTCTATCTCTGTACCCCACTTCTGAGGAGCTTGCCTTCCCCAGTACGTAATGAGCTTGCACTAGCTTTCTATGGAGCTGGGCTCCCTGCCTTCTGTTGCTTTTATATATAGCCAAATACCCATCTTGATCCATTTGCTTTCCCCTCTCCGCTCTTCAACTCACCTCCCTCATATATACCCACAGCCCCTCACCTGCAGAGCTTGTCTCTTTCCCTGGCTCTGCAGGAACAGAGCTCACTGCCTCCTCCCATCACTTTCTCCATTGTAACCTCTTCCGCACTGTAGGTTTGGCACACCAATCCCACCTGCCACTGGTGCCAATGTCTCTCTCTCCTGCCTCCAGGCTTTTTGGATTAAAACAAAACAAAACAAAACAAAACAACAATAACAACAAAACCCAGAAAAAAATACAGGACCTTAGATATCTTCAGAGTTTTCTGTTGAACCTTACCAAGTTCTGTTTTTTTGCCATCGCTCCTGCCTGGTAGCCAGCTGGGTGACATGCTCCTAGAAACTCTGTTTTAGTAGAATCCCTTCTTTCTGTGCAGTTTCTGTGTATACCCTGCAGTTCGTGCAGATCCTGCAACATGATCCAGTCTCTAGCACACCACTGGCACCAAAAGACAAAAAAGTGACATTTTCTCTTTCCCTTATTCTCTCCCCACCATATCTTAGAAAAAAACATATACTAATGAGACACTCTTTCCATCCATCTAAGTGTCCTCATTACGAAGGGGCAGAGGCCATGTGC